AGCAAGTGCAGGTATAGAAAGATCACAGTACAAGCAAGGTTAAGAAGTGAGCAAGTGAGGCTAAGTAGGCACAAGACCTAGCATCGTACAGAAGCGCTGATGATCACCACGCGGAAGTGCCTTGGTAAAGATATCAGCAGTGTTGGCCTCAGAGGCCACGTAAGTAAGGCGCAGCTGACCACGCTGCTGCTGCTCACGAGCAAGGAAGTAGCGAAGTGCAATGTGCTTCGTTCTATGCTCCAGTCTGTGCTCCCCACACAAGGCCAGCATGGCCTTGTTGTCTACGTACAGAACTGGAGGAGAACGAGGCGGCTCTCCTAGGTCAGTCAGCAGGTAGGTGATCCGACGTAACTCCTATGCAGCCATGGCCCTTGCGTAGATCTCAGCCTCACAACTGGAGCCGAGAACAAAAGACGAGCAGGTAGACTGCCACAAAACAGAGTCGGGACCAAGGCTGAAGGTGCAACCCTGTGACGACCGCTGCAAAGCCTGGTCGTCAGCCCAAGAAGCGTCTGCGTGACCTGTGAGGACTACTCAACGTCGTCCTCCAAGCACTAGCCCCATGCCCGACGTACTGCACAAGTAGCACAACACCCTCTTCGCTGCAGCCATGTGGTCTGGTCGGTGTCTCCCACGAGCAACATAGCGTGCCAAGATGCTAAGAGGGAATGCAAGGTCAGGTCGTGTGCAGGTCATTAGGTACATGAGGCAGCCAACAAGCTCTGGGTACGGGCCACTCGGCTCTACGGACTCATCCGAAGGCAGAGCTGAGAGCGAGTGGGGAGTAGACAGAGGAGTGGCCTGAGGCAATGAGTATGTGAAGTCGAAGCGCTGAAGGACCTGCTGCACCAAGTGTGACTGGGTCGGGGTAATGGTGCGCTGTGCTCTGTCCCGGGTGATCTGCAATCCAAGATAGCTGCGCAGTTTACCCAGGTATGTGCACGTGTGTCTCTTCTGCACCTAGGACTTCACGTGGGCGAATCTAGCAGTGTCAGTAGTCGCAAAGACCAAGTCCTCGACGTACACAAGGATGTAGAACGGCGGCTAAGAGGTGTCGGTGCGTAGAAACAACAACGGATCGGCTGTAGAAGGAGCAAACCCAAGAGCCGCAAGTGTAGTCCTCAGTGTGTCGTGCCACTCATGGGGCGCCTGGCGGAGATTGTAGAGTGGCCGCCAGAGGCTCCACTGGGTACCAGGAGGAAACGACCCAGTGAAGCCAGGTGGGTGGCGCAGCCAGATCTCCTCGTGAAGGCTGCCCTGCAGGAAAGCTGTGCTGAAGTCAAGAGAGTGAAGCTCGTAGTCGCGCTGAGCAACTATGTGCAGCAGCACCCAAAGAGTGGTCATCTTCGGGGTGGGAGAGAAGGTCTAAAATTAGTCAACTCCTTGCCACTCACTGAAGCCTCGAGCTACGTAACGCGCCTTGAAGACTGGCGGAGAACCCGGCGGCCGCTTCACCCTGAAAATCCACATGCCACTGACGATGTTCACCCCAGGTGAGGGAACCTCGTCGACGAAGGTGCGTGTGGACTTCCAGGAAGTCATCTCTACATCCATGGCTACCTGCCGCTGAGAGGAGTAGGGACCCTCGATCGCCTCAGCGTACGATCGAGGAGTTGGGATGTCAGGTGCATCTGGGTCTCCCTCAGGGGCAATCAGCGTGGACACGAGATGAGGGAAAGCAGCAGCAAAACAGTGGAACTCCTCCAGCCTGTCCTCAAGGACGTCCGTGCTAAGAGCACACTCACCCCCGACGGACGGAGGACAGATAGACTCACACTCAGCAACAAGACTAGTAGCGTAGTCCAGACGACAACGAGCAGCAAAGTCGACAAGCTCAGCAACTAGGGCCGACGCAGAAGTGGACTCAAAGGAAGGGTCAGTGACAATAGTAGCCATGAGACGCGTGACAGTAGGACTAGCCGCACGAAGAGAGTCAGACTGCCGATCAGCAAGAAAAGGAAGAGAGGACTTTTGAGCAGACGGCAACGGGAGACGGAGAGGAGCAGTGGAAGGACGCAATGCCATCTAGTGTGTGCCTTGGACCACAGGAGGACGCGGACGCGGAGCATGACTACTAGTGCGAGCAGCATGAACAGGCGACACAGGACGAGACGCAGGCTCACGACGCTCAGCAAGACCTCCAATAAGACCAGTGTAGGGAGAAGGAGCAGGCAGGGGGGAGGCGGGCTGTAACTGTGACTGCGACTGGACAGGTTGTGGACACTCTAAGGGAGAAGCAGGACCTGTAGAAGGTGGGAGACCAAGAACCTGCTCAAGGAGCGGAACGAAGCACGGCCGCGGCCGCGGAGCGCCTCCAGAAATAGCAGGGACAGCACAAGTTCCCCCAGCAGCACCACCAGCGCGAGCAGCACCTCGAGCTCCAGCACCTTCAGAAGCACCAGCGTCGACATCCCCTGCAGCTCTAGCTCCAGTAGCTCCAGCAGCACCTACTCCAGTTGGATCCACAGCTCCAGTTCCGCAAGCAGCTCCAGCAATACGTCCAGCAGGACCAACTCTAGCAGCCCCAGCAGCACCCTTAGTCTCAATAGCTCCAGTACCGTTCGTACGAGCACCTTCAGGACCAGCAGCAACAGTAGCACCTCCAGCTCCAGCAGCAACAGTAGCACCTCCAGCTCTAACAGCACGGCTCCAGCGCCGGGTAAACCATTCTCGCAGCTCCTGTAGAGAGATTAGCTCCCGCCTCAACGAAGCACGGTGAGAGGCCACACGAGCAGAACCACCACCCCCAGGCTCTGCACCCCCGGGCTCAGCACCCCAAGACCCAACACCCCCAGGCTCAGCACCCCTAGACTCAGCACCCCCAGGCTCTGCACCTCCAGTCTCAGCACCTTTAGACCCGGCACCCGCAGGCTGAGCACATCTAGCAGCACCAGAGTCAACAGCTACCTCGACATGCTCGACTGCGTCTACCTGGGACACACCTGACGGGGCGTGACCCTGAGGGGGGAGGGGGTCTACCAGGGAAGGACCTGGTGCATGGAAGAGCGGCGGCATGGGGAGGGGCGCAGTGCGGTAGGGGATGAGTCGGTAGTAAGGCACCGACTCGTCAAAGGTGACGTCCTAGGAGGACAGAACATGGCGCGAGGTGGGGTGGTAAAACTTCCACCCAAGCGCGTCAGGGGGGAAGCCAAGGAAGACACAGGGAACAGCACGGGGGGACAGCTTGTCCGAAGACAAGTCTCGGACAAACGCCCGAGATCCCCAAACCCGATACGCAGACGCATCGCTAACCTTCCTCGTCCACCGCAAGGTGGGGGAGGTCTCTTCCAAGGAGACCCGGAGCTGAAGGTTGAGCTGATGCGCTGCGTACTGAACCGCAAACGGCCACAGAAAATGGAGGGCAGCCGCATGCATCATGGACGTACGAGCGACGTCCATGACCATGCCAATGCGGCGCTCAGCAATCCCATTTAGCTGTGGAGAGGCCGGAAGCGTGAAGGTATGGCGGATGCCCTGTGCACGATAGAAGGCTCCCAGACGGGTAGAGGAAAACTCCCCGCCTCTGTCAGAGTGCAGACGCAGGACAGGAAAGTCGGAGCCAAAACTCTCTCTCAGATGGAGACGAGCTGCGCGGATCCAGTCGATCAACATTTAGTGACGTCACCCTTCCTGCGCAAGGGGAACATCGTGGTGTAACGCGAGTAGTCGTCAACCACCAACAGGAACTAACGCCCGTGACCCTGGCCACGGACGTGGGCGGGGCCCCACATGTCCATGTGAATAGTCTGTAGCGGAGCCTCTGCTGGAGGAAACGCGGAGGAGTGAGGGGCGGCACGGTGCCGCCTCTCGACGCAGAGAACGCAGGTAGGGGCAGGCCCCGGAGGTATGGGAGGGAGGGACTGGGGGAGACTAGAGACAAGGACACGGGAGGCCATGCCTTGGAGACGAGGCAGCTTCCTGTCACTCTCACCCACCAGCTCCTCATCAGCATAGGGATCCACAATGAGCCCCGAAGGCAGTGGGATGGCTGGCTTTCCTCCATCTTGCAGCCCATACTTCTCAGCCAGCCCCTCACAGTACTTCCTCGTGTGCAACCTCAAAAGGAGAGTCTGGTGGGACGGGAGACGCGACAAGCAGGGAGCAGAGTTAGGACTAGACCTGGACGCTGCAGCAGACACCTGACTCAACGTAGCTACCTGACCAGACTCAGCAACGGGAGGAGACTCGGTAGTTAGTGTGTACAGCCTCGACCCCGGCCGACGGGTAAACGTGGCCAAGTGTCGGCCTGTCCGAGCACACGTACCGTGGGCCACGTGCTGACTCGCAGAAGTGAACTGGTCAACCCCCCCATCCTGTAGATCAGCTCCACTCACCAAGTTGGTAGAGAACGAGGGGAGGTAGAGACCTGACAGGGTGCCAGAGGGGGCTGCCAGACACAGTAAGATAGTGGAGAAGCAAGCAAGGATAGGACCCCCAGAGGGGTTCGCCAGGGAGACTGCAACCGGCCGACTAAGCGGCGTAAGCGTAGTGCGGTCTCGAAAGAAGGAGCGAGAAGCACCCGAGTCAGGTGTGAAGGTGTGTAAAGCCTGAGTCGACGTGGAAACTGAGAAAGCAGACTCACCAGCACCTGGGGCAGCAGACGCACTAGCACCTACAACAGCAGCCTCACCAACACCTAGAGCAGCAGCCTCAATGTCCGGGTCACGCGGAACAGACAGGTAACAGTCACCCTCATCACTAGTAGACACCGCATACATGGCAGCAAGAATAGCATCATAGTCAAGGTCAAAGATAGCAACCCCCACCCTGGACAGCTCTTCCTAGCGAGGGATCTCAGTGGCGTCAGGGAACTGGTGACGCCACGCGTCCGTTAGGCGGCCGAAGCAGCGCTGGGTGGAGTGCGGGCCCCCGCACTGCTCACCAGCGTGGTCACCGGTGCGGAGGATGTAGGTGCAGGGACCAATACCCCCACCTTGCTGACGCCCAGCGTACCACTCACAAAGCTGCTGGGGAAATGGGGTCTCACGACTGCGCTGTTGCTACTGGCGCGGACCACCACTAGAACCACTCCTCTGCGTAGAGCCGCGACCAGCTCCACCACCGCTGCCGCTGCCTCCGCCACCTCCGCCGCCTCCGCCACCACCGCTGCCTCCGCTCCCTCCGCCACCGCCACCGCCTCCTCCGCCTCCACTGCTGCCACCGACACCTCCACCCCCGCCACCACTCCCATCACTACCCCCACCCCCTCCACTGCCTCCACCACCACCTCCACCGCCCCCTCCAGCCCCTCCAGCGCCCTTGCCCCCCTTGCCCTTGACGGTGCGGCGTCTCTTGCTAGGGGCAGACGCAGCGCCGACCGACTCAAAGCCAGCGAGGTTGGCCGTAGCAGCAGAAGCAACAGAGGGCAAGAGGGGGGAGGGGGAACACCCCTCAAAGACGGGGGTGCGAGGGTCACGACGAGAGGCTCCTACAAGGACTATGCTCTTCTCTGTTGCTAGGAGGCGCTCCTTGAGGAGGTCAACGGTGAGTGTGGTGGGGCAAACTGAGAGGAAGTGGTCCCTGACTAAGCGAAGGGAGTCAGGGAGCCGGGTGACTATGTAGTAGAGGGTGATGTAGATGGGGGGGGGGTTCTTGGCACAGAACTTAGCAGGAAGCGCAGCGCGGTAGCGAGTGTCGCTAGTGGGAAGGTGTGTAATAAGGTCAGCGATTGTGGGAAAGGCAGTAAGGTCAGGGAACAGGTACGGTAGCATGAGGCGGCTAAGAGCAGCAGTGGCAGGGGAAGAGTGGCGTGCAACTACAGCGTCGTACAAGGTCTTAGCACTCTTGTACTGACTAAAGTGCGCACGCTCAGCGGAGAGTAAGTGGCGACGCACACCAAGATGGGCAGCAGCATCGCGAGTGGCCCACTATGAGCGAATAGTGCTGTCACCGGTAGAAGGCGGGGCAGCAGAAGCAACAGAGGTGAGATCAAACAAGGAGAGTCTGTCTGCCCTATCACACTGTAGGAAGAGCTGGAGGTCATCGACCCATACCTCAAAGTCAACAGCACGACCCTAAGCATCAAAGGTAAGGACACTGGGGGTAGCCATGGCAGCAGTAGTCTAGCAGGGAGTGCTCTCACCAGTCCGGGCGGGTAGGGCCGGTGCTCGCTAGTAAGAACAGTGGTGGCTCGACGGCTCGGCTGCTGGGCGGCTTGGTGGCGGGGCAGCTCGGCTGCTGGGCGGCTGAAGGGGCCGAGAAGGGCGGCGAGGGGGCCGCTAGAGGGCAGTGACGGGGCCGCTAGAAGCGGCCACGGGGCCGCGAAGGGCGGCGACAGGGCCGCTAGGGGCGGCGTGGTGGCCGCGAAGGGCAGCAACGGAGCTGCTAGGGGCGACGAGGTGGCCACGAAGGGCGGCGACGGGGCCGCTAGGGGCGGCGGCGGGGCCGCTAAGGGGGGGGGCACGAGGGGCCGTGACGTGGGGCCGCTAAGGGAGCGCGACGTGAGGGTGGCCTACGGGGCGCGCCTCGCACTGGAGAAAAAATCGAGTTCAGTGGTGGGCTCTGAGAAGCGTTCCCACGAGGGAACCTGCTCTATACCTTGTGAAGAATGAGGAATGGATCAACTAGGAAAGAGGTGGGTACAAGTAGAAAAACCTAGAAATGTTGCACCCCATATAGTCTACCCCACTATAGCCTACACAGACTATAGCATATAAGTTTGACAAGCATGAGCATCACGCGTCTGCCACTGTGAGCGAGCAGTGCTGTCAGCAGTAGCAGCAGGTGCGGGAGCGGCAACAGACATGTGGTGAATTAGGGAAACATCATCCTTAGCAGTGATCTGGAGGAACAGGTGTAGGTCATTGAGCCAAACGTCAAACTTAATCGGACGGTCCTCTGCGTCAAACGTGAGAACGGTAGGACTAGCCATAGTGGCAGTAGCACTAGCAGCAGTAGCAGTAGCAGTCGTAGCAGTAGCAGAAGTAACAGAAGCAGTAGCAGTAGCAGTAGGAGTAGTAAGAGCAGTTGCTGCAGTGAGAAGAGTTGAACGAGAATGGAATCACTAAGTGAAAGTTGGGTACAAATGCAAACCCTAGAAAACTGTACCCCATATGTGCTACCCCACTATAGCCTACAATAGCTATGTCATATATATCTGACACACCCCCATAGGCAAAGTGGGGGAGAACAAGGGGTCACAAGACCAGTCAAGCAAAGCAAAGCAAAGCAAGCTCAGGGTGGATCACAAAGTCACCACACAGTCCGAGCACAAGGTCAAGGCCACAAGGCCAGTTCACATGCAGGAGTGCACATATATATATAACACTAAACAAGCAAGAGCAGGTGTATATATATATATGCAAGAGTACAAGCAAGATCAAGAGGTGAGCAAGTGAGGTAAGACAGGTACAAGTCCCAGCTGAGTGCAGAAGCGCTGATGATCACAAGGCGGAAGTGCCTTGGTGAAAACATCAGCAGTGTTGGCCTCAGAGGCCACGTACGCAAGTCGCAACTGGCCACGCTGCTGCAACTCACGAGCAAGAAAGTAGCGGAGAGCAATGTGCTTCGTTCTGTGCTCCAGGCGCTGCTCTCGACACAAGGCCAGCATGGCCTTGTTGTCTATGTACAGCACTGGAGAAGAACGAGGCGTCTCTCCAAGGTCAGTCAGCAGGTAGGTGAGCCAGCAAAGCTCCTGAGCAGCCATGGCCCCGGCGTAGATCTCAGCCTCACAACTGGAGCCGAGAACAGAAGACGAGCGAGTAGCCCGCCACGAAACAAAGCCGGAACCAAGACCGAAGGTGTAACCCTGTGACGACTGCTGAGTAGCCTGGTCGTCAGCCTAAGAAGCGTCCGCGTGCCCAGTGAGGACCACTGGACTCCGCCCTCCAAGCACTAGCCCCATGCCCGACGTACTGCACAAGTAGCGCAACACCCTCTTCGCTGCAGCCATGTGCTCTGGTCGGTGTCTCCCAGGAGCAACATAGCGTGCAAGAATGCTAAGAGGGTATGCAAGGTCAGGTCGTGTGCAGGTCATCAGGTACATGAGGCAGCCAACAAGCTCTGGGTACGGGCCACTCGGCTCTACGGACTCATCCGAAGGCAGAGCTGAGAGCGAGTGGCGAGTAGACAAAGGAGTGGCCTGAGGCGAGGAGTACGTGAAGCCGAAGCGCTGAAGGACCTGCTGCACCATGTGTGAATGAGTCAAGGTAATGGTGCGGCGTGCTCTGTCCCGAGTGATCTGCAAGCCAAGGTAGCTGCGCAGTTCACCCAGGTCAGTGCACGTGTGTCTCTTCTGCAGCTTGGACTTCACGTGGGCGAGTCCAGCAGTGTTCGCTGTGGCAAAGACCAAGTCGTCGACGTACACGAGGATGTAGAACGGCGGCAAAGAGAGGTCTCGGTGCGCAGAAACAACGACGGGTCAGCAGTAGAGGGAGCAAACCTAAGAGCCGCAAGTGTAGTCCTCAGTGTGTCGTGCCACTCACGCGGTGCCTGGCGGAGACCGTAGACTGGCCGTCGGAGGCTCCACTGGGTGCCAGGAGGGAAAGTCCCAGTGAAGCCAGGTGGACGGCGCAGCCAGATCTCCTCGTGCAGGCTACCCTGCAAGAAAGCAGTGCTGAAGTCAAGAGAGTGGAGCTCGTAGTCGCGCTGAGCGGCTATGTGCAGCAGCACCCGAAGAGTGGTCATCTTCGGGGTGGGAGAGAAGGTCTGAAAGTAGTCAACTCCCTGCCGCTGACTGAAGCCACGAGCCACGTACCGCGCCTTGAAGACAGGTGGAGAGCCCGGCGGCCGCTTCACCCTGAAGATCCACATGCCACTGACGATGTTCGCCCCAGGAGGGGGAACCGCGTCAACGTAGGTGCCTGTGGATTTCCAGGAAGCCATCTCTGCATCCATAGCTGCCTGCCACTGAGAGGAGTAGGGACCCTCTACGGCCTCCGCGTAAGAGCGCGGAGTCGGGATGTCTAGTGCATAAGGGTCTCCCTCAGGGGCAAGCAGTACGGACGCGAGATGAGGTGAAGCAGCAGCCAGACACTGGAACTCCTCCTGCCTGTCCTCAAGGACGTCCGTGCCAAGAGCACACTCACCCCCGACGGACGGAGGACACACAGACGCAGACTCAGCAACAAGACTGGCAGCGTAGTCTAGACGACAGCGAGTAGCAAAGTCGACGAGCTCAGCAACAAGCGCAGACGCAGCAGTGGACTCAAAAGAGGGGTCAGTGACGACAGTAGCAAGGAGACGTGTGACAGTAGGACTGGCAGCACGAAGAGAGTCCGACTTTGGGTCGGCAAGTGCAGGAAGAGAGGACTCAGGAGGAGAAGGCAAAGGGGCACGCAGAGGAGCAGTGGACGGACGCAGAGACATCCGGTGCGTGCCAGGGACAGGAGGAGGACGCTGACGCGAACCGCGACCACTAGCGCGAGCAGTACGAACAGGCGACGCGGGACGAGACGCAGGCTCACGACGCTCAGCAAGACCTCCAGTAGGACCAGTGTAAGGAGAGGGAGCAGGAAGTGGAAGGCGGGCTCTAACTGTGACTGTGACTGGACAGGCGGTGGACACTCTACAAGAGGAGAAAGACCAAGAACCTGCTGCAGGAGCGGAACGAAGTACGGCCGAGGCCGCGAGGCAACTCCACACACAGCAGGGACAGCACCAGCACCCTCAGCGGCAGCACCAGGGCCAACAGCACCTCCAGCTGGAGGACCTCCAGCAGCACCAGCAGCACCCGCAGCAGGACCACCGCCAGGAAAGGACAGTAGCAGTCTCAGCACCAACACCCCCAGCAGCTCCGGGACCAGCGGCACAAGTACCCTCAGCGGCCGAAGAAGCTCCAGCTCCAGCAGTACGTCTCCAGCGACGAGAAAGCCACTCGCGCAGCTCCAGTGGAGAGAGTGGCTCCCGCCGAGACGAAGCATCCGGAGAACCTCCAGGCCCCGCATCGCCAAACGCCACAAGGGGAGGTCTAGTGGCCGCAGGCTCCGCAACTCCAGGCTCAGCAGCACCCCCTGGCTCAGCAGCTCCTGACGTAGCACCCCCAGGCTCAGCACCCCCAGTCGCAACACCCCCAGGCTCAGCACCCCCAGACTCAGCACCCCTAGGCTCAGCACCCCTCGGCTCAGCACCCCCAGACGCAGTACCCCCAGGCTCAACACCCCCAGGCTCAGCGCCCACGCGCGAAGCACCCCCAGAGTCAGCACCCCCAGGCTCAGCACCCGCAGCAGTACCAGAGTCACCAGCAACCTCGACCGGCTCGACTGCGCCTACCTGGGACACACCTGATGGGGTAGGACCCTGAGGGGGAAGGGGGTCTATCGGGGGGGGACCTGGCACAAGGAAGTGCGGTGGCGGGGGGAGGGAAGGAGTGCGGTAAGGGAAGAGGCGGTAGAAGGGGACTAACTCGTCGAACGTGACGTCCTGGGAGGACAGAACACGACGAGAGGAGGGGTGGTAGAAATGCCACCCTGGGGCGTCAGGGGGGAAGCCTAGGAAGACACAGGGAGCAGCACGAGGGGACAGCTTGTCCGCAGACAAGTCACGGACAAACGCTCGAGATCCCCAGACACGGAACGCAGACGCATCGCCGACCTTCCCCGTCCACAGCAGAGCTGGGGAGGTCTCCGGCCGGGAGACCCTGGGGTGAAGGTTGATCTGATGCGCCGCGTACCGAACCGCAAACGGCCACAGAAAATGGGGGGCAGCCGCATGCATCATTGACATATGAGCGACGTCCATGACCATGCCAATGCGGCGCTCAGCAATCCCATTTTGCTGTGGAGAGTCAGGAAGCGTAAAGGTCTGGCGGATGCCTCGTGCACGACAGTAGGCTCGCAGAAGGCCAGAGGAGAACTCTCCACCTTGGTCAGAGTGTAGACGCAAAACAGGAAAGTCCGAGCCGAAGCTCCTCCTGAG